CACAAAGAAGTATTCCAATTTATTCCCCGAGTAGGAGAGATACGAAGCATCAGCCGGAGAGGACACCTACGTCTTGGTTGGAAAGAGCAAGGCCGGCTACGCCGTCTCCAGATAGTAGTGAATGGCATTTAGGTTCAATTAAAGTCCACTGATGTTGCAGAAATTCAGCGAGGGAGTCTCTATTACCAGGGGTGCTGGATGCTGGTACCTTCTTGGAGCAGTGAAGTAGCCCTTTAATTCCGCTATCATGTCAATGGGTGGGGGGAAGTGGGTCTCCGACCACCTGCACTTACCAGGCGAAACGCTTACTTCTGCGATTTTTTCACTTAGCTTCTATTTCACACTGGTATTCAGTGAATTGTGGTACCACCCCGCTTCGAGCCGGTCCATCCGTACGACAACAAAAGCTGCCGCGTGGCTCTACCACTATTTTCACTAAACGTATCCACATATAGCGCTTTCGCATGTCGCACAAAGATTTCTAGATCATAAAAAACTGACCCAAGAGTGGTTGTTCGATAATTAAACTGCTTTCCCAAAAAAAAAACACTGATACAGATCGACAGGTTTTTTTTGTTTAAGTTCTAGGCGGACGAATTCACAAGTAGAAGCTGGTAAATAATATTGTTGTATCAAAGTCACCCAGCGTAAAACAGCTATTCCATTTATATTATTGAATTCACTTTTAATTAATTTTACTTCACAAGTTCTATATTACCCCTGCCTTTTCAATTTACGATAAACTTTGATGGATATTTGATTAACATTGACGTTACAATTAGCAAATCATCTTTACTTTGATTAAATTTTCAGGTGGTATGAACTACCTGAAAATATAAAAATGATAACATTTTTGCTGACTATCGAAAGGGATCGTAACTCCATATATTATGTGAAGTAGGTCTTTGCTATTTTATCAACGTATTTTCTCATATCTTCGAAACAGTACATTTGAGTGAGATGAGATTTTTTTTATCACAGTAATGTATCTCATTCGTCCTTCATTACGTAAAATACAACCCTAAATGTAACTTGATAAAATCAAGGGATGAGTAAAGTATTTTATATTTTTATTATTCATGTTAATGATACAACAGTATGCTAAGTATTTCATATCAGCATTTAGCATAAACGAGCATAATATATATTACATGATCCTATATGCCTCTAATAATAAATTCTGAAATGCTTGATTATATATTTTAAATTTTTAAGGAGGTAGTTTTGACTATACTTTTAGCTAACATCTAGCATTTACTATCTTAACGTATCTTTTTTAAATAACTGTACCTATCAATTGCTTGAAAGCGAGTTCAGTAGGTTTCAAATCTGATCTCTATTATATAAAAATCAATTCCTGTCCGTTAGTCCTGCTGAAACTCTGTATTGCTGACGGTGAATTTTTTGTGAGTGTGTGAGTGGGTCCCTGGATGGTTGAGATTCATTATTGGCCATGCGAAGCCGGGTCTAATTGCTAGTTTTGAATATAAGTTAAGAAAATAGGTGTAATATAAAGAGTTCGTTTTTAATTTTTATAATACATTGCTTATTATTGGTTATATTTATAACATAAGCTTATAATTGTTTATTTCAGCAAAATTTTACAAAATTTAAATTTTATATTTATGTTAACTGCTAAAATATTTTTATCGATATCATTGATCAAATTGACTTTGGTAATGAGAGAAGTACAAAAAAGCGTTCTTAACACGTTTGGGTGGTGCTTATTGGGTTCGGCACATTTAATTCCATTATGTATTGAACAGAAAATTTGCTTTGGATTCACTTACTACATTCATTTCATTTGGTTCGCCCAAAGGATAAACCCCTGGACTTATGTTAGTAACTAGCTGATACCCGCGCGCTTCGCTGGGCGCAAGATAATATTTTATTGCGGAACCTATTTTTTTTTTGATGGAATAATCGTAAAATCCGTTCTTAGTTAGCGTCTATATTGCGAAATGAGTAACTATACGAAATTTTAATTCAATCGGGTGTATAGTTTTATAGATCTCGTGATGAGTGAGACAGTCAGTTGTATTTCGCTTATATAAATATGCATGATGGAATATGCATAGGGATGCAACATCTCTTCGCAGCGACAGTAAGTCAATCCAAAGCTGTTCAGATAATTAGTTCTTAATTTAGTTGTAAATTATCTATTATGTAGTGGCGGTGTAAAATATTAATTACCCCATATCATTGTCTCGTGGATGCCGTAAGAGGCACAAAGAGAAACAATAATGAGATGAATAACAACTCAAGAAGATGAATGATGATAATGTACTTTGTAAGCAGTGATTAAACCAACGATTTTTTTTAGGATTTTTTTTCTTTTATTATAGCGAGGCGCAACTCGCACTTGGCCGGATTTCTATATAGTATTACTATTTGTTTTAAATTAAACAACCACCAACCATCTGTACAAGTCGGACTACAAATGAAAATACTCAAATGCGGGCAAAGTTTACTCTTCTAAGGCAAAGGACAAATTAGTTATTTTCTTACGTCACTCCGAACATTTTTTCTCCGTTTACGCAATACTCACGCACACTAAAACCATGTGAATTTTCCCTATACAAAATAGTATTAAATTTCATAAACTATATCTCGGTTTTGTCGACTGCGCAACGGTTTATTTAATATTTATTATTAGTATACCGTAAAAACTGTTATCTGCTACATTTAATCTACCTTTTCTTTCTTATAAATCTATATTTTCAGCTTTTAATATAATTTTAAACAGCCCGCACATATTTGACTTCAACTTTCCTTCAACTTTACAATCATGTTCACTGACACAGCCTTTAAAATAGAAAAAAAGAAGTTCCTCGGTCTTTCCCGGGAAAGGAAAACTTCAAAATCTTAAAGGATTATCGAAGACTTGGTTAACCTCTAGAGTTCTCGAGTACTTTCTTTCCCATACACAGAGTCCAACTCATCTTTGTTTTGCGCGTATTGACTATCAAAAACAAATATTTAATGACAGCTCGATACTATTTTTTTCCATTTTCACAAAAACACTCACATCGACTCACTGAAACGACTGTCAAATAACAATTTCGCGTTCAAAATGGCTGAAATTTAGGTGCGTAATTTTCAAAAGACTGCCTAGTATTTATTTTTAATTATACAGACAACCGCAGCCTAAATTTTCACACTTATTTTTAAATGGTTATATTTTTATCTTTATTTTAAAATTATGAAGGATATGCCGAAATCAAGTTGAAGTGAAAAGCACAAATCGTGAATTTTCTTTTAAATTTCAACATTCATCACAAAGCCGTAAAGTAATACGAACTGCTTTATGTAAATGATATCGCGGAATAGGAGCCTTTTTGAACTTCTATTATTGCATTTCTTATCTTAAATGAAACTAATTTTTACGGATTTTTTCGCGTTTAATTTAACTTTATACTTCCCGACGTTTCGGGTGCTTTTCAGCACCCATAGTCACGGGAAGGACTGAAACGTCGGGAAGTAAGAAGTTAAATTAAACGCGAAAAGATCCGTAAAAAATAGTTTCATTTAATGTGTAGTCTTCGCGTAAATATAATAAATCATTATTTCTTATCTTTACAAAAAGTTAGCTTTCCTGAAGTAAAATTTGCAATATTTTATCGTCTTCATCAGCAGAAAGCTTTTTTTTAAGTTTGAAGTAGGGCAGGCATTTTCAATATAATTTATTTGTACTGAGTAAGCTCAAGGTCGCTCGGCGAGCTATGGAAAAGGTTATGCTTGGAATTTCTCTAGACTTCATAATGAAGGTATTCACTGTAAAACCAGAATAATCGACATAGTTCAACGGATCAGTAAGTAAAATTGGCAATTGTTCGCTCATATAGCTCGAAAAACCAACAACCAATGGTGAAGAAAAGTTCTCGAGTGGCAGCCTGGAAATGGCAAGTGTAGGGCGGCCCCCACTAGATGGAGTTATGACCTGGTCTTGCCAAGAATTTGATGGATGCAGGTTGCCACCTTGCTTTGTGGCATCACTGGGAGAGGTCTATGTTCAGCGCTGAAATTATGAGGAGCTGTAATATGATGCATAGAATTTCTGTTGTAATTCGGTCGCTCGAGCGTTGTCTGTTAGTGAGCAGGGCGCACTATGTGCAGGTGAAGTTGACATTTAGAGCATCCGACAGCTCTGTGGTGCAGTGGCTTAGTAATGAGTTGCGGCGCTGAGGGCCACATGTTAGAATCACGCACGGAACAAGTATTTGTATGGCTAAGAAGTAATTTTTCCGGGTCTGGATGTTTGTCCTTGTGAAATTTATATCTGTATAGTAAACTGCCTCCACGATACAGTAGAAAATTCTTGTGTGCAGTTGACGTTGATTTTATAAGAAAAAACTGCATTTCTTTATTAATCGCTTAAGAATACAGCTGAATATAGACTTAGTAGGAGATATTTGCCAGAATGTATCCGATTGGTAGGCAGTTTGACGATTAGAATACCAGTTAACCCATAATTCTGATAGTGTCATCTATCACTGGTCTTGTTATTTCACATACTCTGCACCATATTTAGTATTCTGAATTTCAATACCTGGGAGATCTTCATAATTATTCTCTCTGTTCCTCAGGTAATCTCAAGTAACTCACGCTTTACATCCATTCATTCATCCATTACAGCCTATAAAAGTCCACTTTTGAACAGGCTAAATAGGCTTCCCTCATAGATTAACTCATGTGATGATTTTGTCAGTCTTGGCAAGCGGGTTGGCAAACGCATTTTATTATTTTTTGGAGTTGTTATCAGGACTGCTGCCCATCCCTGTTTAATTTTCCCTCTGTCGCCTCTTACGACACCCTCGGGATGATATGGGATAGTGAATCTTCTCACATCGCCACTATACGCTTTACATCGTACTGGTTATTTATTTTACTCTTTCGTCTTAACTGTGTGTTCGCCACAAGTGAAACACACCAAAGCCTAAATCACTCTATCAAAAAAGTTCCGAAGCACTGCGCTATATATAGAACAGCTCTATACTAACATACGGAGCGTTGGCCGTTCCCCGAGCTGAACACTTTGCCCGATGAGCGATCTCCAGTTTTCCTTCCACGGCTAAAACTGGAACAAATTTCCTCTTGCTATTAAAAGCTTCCAACAAGTTTCTTTTTAAGATTAAAGTTCGTGAAAACTTTTTACTACAATAATTTAATTCCTCCAATTTTCTTTTTGAAATGAAAACTTCTTTATGTACGTTGGGCGATTTTTGAATGGGTAAAATCTTATGAGTTTGTGTCACCAAAATGCTGTAACAGGAGTATAAAATTATAAAAATAATCACCATCATCGTCCCTTCAAAAGTCCACACACATAGGCCTCACCTAAGGAATCCCACAAAGCACGGTCCTGAGCCACCTGCATCCTTCCATATAAATGTATATTAATTATTGTCAATTAAGTTGTATTTATATTTTTCTTTCGCAGCCCATCATAATATGTTTTGGTTAGTAAATAAACATATAAAAATGTGTATAATTATTGCTCGGGGTGCCGATAGTAGCGATATAAGAATACCCACTACCCTATATCATCCCGTGGGTGTCGTAACAAATCAGGATATGGACAGCAGCATCCTCCTAATAACGACTAAAAATGAAAATTACTGCGGTAGCCAACCCGCTTGCCAAGCGTGGCAAAGATGGCCTATGTTCAGCAGTGGATTTTAATAGACTGTAACGGTAACGGTAACGGTACCAATAGATGCGCAAAACCGACTAATGTTAATGATTATAATTTACAAATTATGAAAATTTAATTGTTGATACTACCATTAATTTAAAAATAGAAAACGTCTAATAAAATAAAATATAATATAAATTATAATAAAAAACGAATAAAAAACGTATTTCATTGCTTTAAGTTTTCACTTCAGTCGGCAGTTCCCCATGACCATGCAAATTTTTTTCTTGTCAGTTTTACTGCACCGCCTCTTATATGTCTATCTATGTTTAGCCTAATGGTGGACTGGGTGAAGATACCTTTAGGCATTCATTTTACCATATTTACGATTTTGTGCATACAGCTTTAAATAAATAAGTAACCCTGTGGCATAAATACGCGATGGTAATGCCGTCATCCATTTAAAGCCACGTAACCTTCCCGGTACTTTCCCATATTCCCTACCAAACCCAAATGAAGAAAATGAGAATTATCTTATGCTTCCAAAACACGGCTCTGACTATTGATACTTTACATATTACTAACTGGGGTGTTAAGCGTCAACTTTACACGGTTGTATTTCGTTACTAGCGGCTCGCCCCGGCTATGCCTTATGTCCATCAGGAAAAAAAAATACCTTCCAAAAGGTGAAAGAACTTTCTAATCGGTGCAGTAATTCCGGAGAATACCTCACAAAATTCGCACTCTCTATTTATAATATTAGTATAGACAAGTTACTCTAACCTCTAAATCACGAGTTTGAGCCATGTTATAATACTAGCACTAATAAAATATTTAATATTAAATTGTATAAGATATTTTGTTAACAAAGCAGACAATAAAGTGAAAGTTTTAAGGACCTGTTTATTACTTTGTAGGCTATGAATTTAATTTCTTTTAAGAAATTATGGAAACGTTTTGAAATGGTCTATAAACTCAATTAACGTTAATTGAGTACTTTAATTAAGTAAATTAGGATAAGATAAAGTAGAGTGTAATATTACAGAACGGCTGTGAAAGATATTTTCTTTTAAATAATACTTTAATATTTACTAAAGTCTATTAACTATTTAATAGATTTTTATAAGTATTCTTTTTATTGAAGTAATTTAATATTAATATATGTTTTTATAGAACAAGGGTGACAAGCGAGCACACATCCTACCTGATGCTAACTGGATGCCTATAGACATCTACATCTATCCTCGATTAAGAATCAAAATGCAGATGTGTAGTCACCCCTGAGGACTAAGATGGATGCCTCGTTTGTAGTAAAAGGGGTCTCCAGTTCTTCACACTTACCATACGAAACACAGCAGCATTGAGCTGCTATTTTACGTTGGTATTCTTTGAAAGCGTGGTCTTTCCCCGGTCGAGCAGACCCATTCGTGCTACAACCATAATATAGCAGCAACATGGCTCTACTACGTAAAAAAAAATTATAGAAGTTTTAGGGCTGTTTTTGTTGTGAAATTCTTTCTTTTACTTGCAACGATGCCAATGGCTTACCTACTGATGATTCGTAGAATGAAGTCAGCAGCAATACCCCATTATCAAACAAAGAATTAATTAACCAACAAATCAGCAAAATTATCTTTGATGACACGAGAAGAGTTGGAATCGGAAATCTTCCAACGTCTAAAGAAGACTTATTGACCCTACAGAAGGTTGAAATCCTATTATTTGAAAATGGAGGTGATCGAGCCCAATTACTGTAAAAAGCTTATCGATGGATTCGTTCAATTAAGTCAATAAGTGTAGAAACACAGATTACTAAATAGTTTACTAAAGGTAGAATGTGAACATTTTCTGCGGCTGGAATGTTATGTAATAAACTGCGCACAAGCCTTAGCGACAAAACCATAAACTGCTTGTCGTTTCTTGTACTTATTTCCAACAACAAAAAAAATTGTAAAGAGATTAGGTATGTATGTAGGTATGTAAATAATGTACCTACTTATTATTCTAAATTAAACGACTGATTTAATTGTTACGATAATTGATTTCCAATCAAACCAAAATGTTAAGTAATAGGTAAATATTAATATTTTATAATGATTTCTTATATTTACGCGAACACTACACATTGAATAAAACTACTTTTACGGATTATATCGCGTTTAATTAACTTATTTTTATTAATTCCCAATGTTTAGGGTGCTCTACAGCACCCATGGTCGCGGGTGGTCATGGTCTGAGTTGACTGACGTCCCGATGTCAGAGTTAACCCGGAATACCTTCAGCTTTTTTAATCATTAATTTTGATCCGATCTATGCTTCTAAATGAACTTACTGTGTCTTGAAGTCTTGCAGTGGTATGCTTGGGCTTAGTTTTAATTTTATTAATTACAGGATCCCAAGGAGATGGTAGTACCCAGCCTCCCTCTCTATTGAAATCAGGATGTTTTTTAATTTCAATAGCATCACGTATCATCCTTGGCAGGAATCGATGTTCTTTCGCGAGAATTTGTGGTTTATCAAATCAAATGTAATGGCGGGGGCCATCTAGGATATGATTACAAACTGCAGACTTCCCGGAACGTTGGTGCTTCACGTCAGCTATGTGTTCTTTTATGCGGGTTTTTATTGATCGTTTTGTTTGCCTTATATATGAGAGACCACATTCACAATCAAGCTTGTACACTCCTGCATCTTGTAGAGGAATATTGTACTTGACGGATGTAAGAACTGACTAATCTTCTTCGGCGGCTTGAAGAATGTTCTAATAGAAGCTCGCTTCAAGATGTAGCCAATCTTGTTTGTTACACCTCTGACATATGGTAGTACAGCAGGCACACGCTCGACTCACTCCTTCACAGTTAGATACTTTAAAAATTTACGAAATTTTTTATACGTAATTTTTTAATACGCTTAAAGCATGTACCTACAATTTGATTTACCAATAGCTTTTTTTTAATTTTGGTCTGTCTGTTTGTTCCGACTAATCTCCGAAATGGTTGGACCGATTTTAACAGGACTTTCACTGGCAGATACCTGATGCAATAATCAGTAAATTAAGCTACTTTTATTTTAGAAAAAGAAATAGGATTCCGCACAAAAGAAAAATTAAATCCCATGAAATTCAAACGTAATAAATTAAATGCGGACGAAGTAACGGCGACCAGCTAGTATTTTATAAATATTAAGAAATCGTAGATATACAAAGAAATATTTTTCAATATATTAAATTGTATTCATTATACTCCATCCCATCATCGTTACAGCCGTGTAGTGGCGGCGTATGACAATCCCATATCATTCCGTAGACGTCGTGTTGTAAGAGGCGACAGAGAGAAACGAAAACGCGAAATGAGCAGCCGCATCATTATTGATAACAGCTGAATGTGGCAACTAAGACAAATATAGTCCATAAGTCCATCCACTCTCCACATGAGGCAATATATAGGGCTGGTCTTCTTGAAGAAAGCTTCTTCAGGACAATATACATCACCTGATCTATTAATTTAATGGACATGTATGCATAGTTTTACGTCTTGTTTGTCACACAAAGGCAATAAACGCCTGATAAAACGCCTTTTCCCCAAGGTAAGGTTATAAAATTTACTACATCTTGTGCTTACAATGTGTAGTATTAGGCGCTATTATTAGGCTCAGTCTACTCTCTTTCATTAGACAATATTAAGTTGAACTTAATGTGGTTGCTAACATCAGCAAAACGAAAAAGGTTTTATTTAATTGTTGATAAAATGAACAAAAGCTTTTAACTTTTTTATACGATCACAAAAGAAAAATCCTTAAAGTTTATTACCTTATTTAATACGAATACTACAAATTGATTTGACCTAAAAATTTCAGATACCCACTTGCCCCTTCTTATTCTTCTAATAACCCATTGAAATTTCAAAACTTACGTATCATTTAGGGATTTGCTCAAAACAGAAATTTAATTATTTTAAATAATAATAAAAAATTATATTTGACAGGGCAAGAGGCGAGATTTGTAGTACGAGTGAGTGCGAGACCTTTGATTTGCTATCAACTATGTCATATATTTAATATTATAGTACTTTGAGTTTAAGTTCACTGTTGAATATAAAAAGTTGATAACCTTTTTTGGTAAATTTACTTCCAATAACCAAACTACAGAGTTTGCGTTTGGCATAGCTTAATGAATATATAAAAAATAGTGTACAAAATTATTACTTGAATATATATTCACCAATACTGTAGGTTTTACAGTATGAAGCCAAACTTTGTAACTATTTCATCAACTAGCAATTCCCGTAATGCTTTCTTATATTTACGCCGACACTACACATCGAATAATAATATTTTTCACGGGTTTTATCCCATTTCTTTTTACTTATTTTTAATTCCAGACATTTCCATGTGACCATGTCCAGTTCTCCCGTGCTGCAAACACGATAAAATCCGTAAAAAAG